CGTGTAGCTGGTGGATGAGAACGGCTGAGCCGGTCCGGCGCTCTCGCTCTCGCAAGGGAGGCAGTAACGAGTCCGCAGGAGGCGTCCGCCGGCCCGCGGGTCACGGCAGAGCCTTCGTTAGGAGCGAAAACGCTCAGCGGAAAGTGGATCATGAAGGAAGAGAAAAGCGTAGAACATGCTGGTGTGCGTGGAAAGGTCAGGCCTGGAAAGAGCTCAGTATGTGAGATATAAGGAGGAGTGGGGACTGTCCCGTGTGTGCTAATTACTCCATTAAAGGGGCATAACGAAGCATCACTGCCTTTCTAATGAAATCCATCAAAAACAATCTGAGTGATGAGAGCCGCTGGGTGGGGAGAGGGGACCTTCACGGCTGGGATGTCCAGCACGGCTCCCCAACCACTGGAACACGTACTGCCATCCGCCCTTTACCGGGTATACGAGAAACCAATCGGCACGACGACATTATGGGGGCAGTGATGGAAAGAGCCAGACTCTCAGTGGCCATTAAAGCCTCAGTGTAAAAACGGGCAGCTTTGAAGGACTGCCCACGCAGCCCCGTCCGAGCCGAGGCCCCAGGGGTTTTTAATTACCCCTCTTTGTTGGAAAGAGAGCTCATTTTTGCCATCTAACCCAAAACAAGGGGAGAAGAAGTTTGGATGCAGTGTGATTATCAGCCAGAGACACCATTATGGAGCAAGAGGGGACGCCAGCAGCCGACTGGCTTTATACTGGTGATGGAGGAGGGTGAGGAGGAGCAGCTCACCACACCTTTACTCCGGTGATGGAGGAGAGTGAGGAGGGGCAGCTCACCACACCTTTATTCCGGTGATGGAGGAGAGTGAGGAGGAGCAGCTCACCACACCTTTATACCGGTGATGGGGGAGAGTGAGGAGGAGCAGCTCACCACACCTTTATTCGGTGATGGGGGAGAGTGAGGAGGAGCAGCTCACCACACCTTTACTCCGGTGATGGGGGAGAGAGAGGAGGGGCAGCTCACCACACCTTTACTCCGGTGATGGGGGAGAGTGAGGAGGGGCAGCTCACCACACCTTTACTCCGGTGATGGAGGAGAGTGAGGAAGGGCAGCTCACCACACCTTTATTCCGGTGATGGAGGAGAGTGAGGAGGAGCAGCTCACCACACCTTTATACCAGTGATGGGAATTAGAATTAGTTAGAATTTAGTGATCAGTGGTCATTGTCAACACACCACAGCACACAGTGCGCAACAACAAAATGTGTCCTCTGCATTTGACCCATATGTGACTTTCGTGACATAGCAGGGGGCAGCTAATTCAGCGCCCGGGGCGCAGTGCTTGAGGGCAGTACCTTGCTCAGGGTACCTCAGTGGTGACTTGCTGGTGGGGGATTCGAACCTGCAATCTTTCAATTACAAGTGCGCTACCCTAACCATCAAGCCACCACTGCTTTATTCCAGTGATGGAGGAGTAGCTCACCTCACCTTTATACTGGTGATGGGGGTGGCTGTAGGCAGGGGGAAGCATAGGATGGAGTTATTGGCTGAAGGAGAACAGAGCTTCCTGTCTTTTCTTAGTGCGCTTCTACCTCTGACCCTTGAGGTGTGTCACACCATCCCTACTACGCAGAAAAGCACCAAGTCCGTCTGTGTGCAAAACACACTTGCTATTGCTGTTCTGAGCGCTGGTCATCGCTCTCTCTTTGACAGCATCATATCAAAGATAATAAGCATATCATCCACTCAGCTGCTTCCCCATCAGGAGTGTTTGCCATCCTGGGCGTGTTTTTATCCCTAATTAGCCTCCTCAGAGTCCCCATTAAAGAAAGACAAGCTCCTGGAGGAGAATGCATTGCCGGAGCCAGTCCCAGGCTCTTAATCATTACGAGAGCATCTCCTTTAGCAAGAACTGCGACCTTCACGCGATCCAGCATCACGTTACCTCTGATTCCCCCTCAGCACGTCTAACATGTTCTTCACAGGTGAAGACAGAGCTTATGATCTTATGTCATGTTTTACTGGAATATAACATTTATTATTATGTAATATGATTTTGAAGGGAAGGTGCCAGGTCTGGACCCCCAAATACAGTGCTTGATGGTGAGGGTATTCCTAAGGCACTCATCAGAATTTTTACGGTCACATGACGCGTTTTGTTAATAATACTGAGTACTGTTCAGATGTTAGGCTGTACCAAGCAGCCTTTGAAACCTTCTGTGCTGAGAAGCCAAACACATCACCGGATATATTGATTCTAGCTTTTACTGCCATCTAGTGTTTTTCCTCGCGGGGCTAAAAAAAAAAAAAAGCAAACGGATGCGTGTGCAAGCTGCGTTTGTCACCCAAAATCCGGTCGTCCTCGAAGTGAAGGAGAGCTGAGGATAAGGAACACATCCTGTTTGTGAGAAGACCCAGAGGGTCGCTGTAATGTGACAGACATGAGGCGTGTTAGTGATGAGCGCGTTAGCATATTAGCACTCCGACCCGCACTTCGTTCAGCATCAGGGCCAGTGAGGCAGACGCCCTGAACCTGAACGTCTCCACACACCCGAGGCTCATGCTGCGAGCCGACGACCGTCAGCCATTAAACTTTCCAAAAATATCAAGCTATGAATACATTACAATCTTGAACTGATATTGACATTCATGGAAATGTAAATTCACTTCATTTGGCTTTATCCCTAAACTAGTCGCCAGGCTAATCTGACTGTGCCGCTGCATGAGGAATTGATCATAAATCACAGTCCCGGCAGAGGAGCTCCAAAATCCTTAAAAGCTCCTGAAAGATCCAGGCTCTGGTTATATTTTCATTTCTATATTCTATATTCGTGTCTGCTAGCACACATAGCATGGTTTACAAAAATGTGAACGCAAACAGCCCATGACAGCAACTGACCACCATTAAAGCAGCTAAAGGAAACCAGGCCAAAGGCAGAATGACCTCCATCGCCCTGACGGCGCGAGTCGCCGCCTTTGGCTCATATTGTAAGCGGCTTCCCACTTTCCGGAAGGCAGTTTGGTCGATCCTCCCTGTTCTGAGAAACGCAAGGCTCTCAGGATGCAGCCCAGAGGGAGATGTTTTGCAGAAATCGGCCCTCTAGCTTCTGGTTAAAACCGAGAAGTTACCTCTCTGCTGCGGTACTTCAGATCTTCCCAGAAAGCCTGCAGGACCCATCCTTCATCCATAAGTAATAGTGAGGCTCCCCAGCCCTCCTTCGGCTCTGATCCCTCGCTCATCTTCGGACTCCGCCTTTATTATGTGTGAATTATTGAACAGGGACAACATGGCTGCAGATCAGACCAAATCAATCTAAGTGCAGTTACATCTGATGCGGTCTCGCGTCTCACAGCCGAGGACGTTGCTGGACGACAGCCAGCGGGGGGGTCATGATGCCTTTAAATGGCCCAGAAGGTGAAATCCCACTGCGGGAATGAAGTTATGTTTATCTGGGACTCACTCCTTCCCATAATGGCGAGATTCTCGTTCTATTTAGTACCAGAGCTCACATATGGTTGTGTGAGCCGGTGATCGTGATGTTAAATGGCGTCATTACCCACGTCCTCCAGGTGTCCGAATCCTGGCTCTGACAGAAACGGGGACACCTTTATCTGGCCGTGCCGGCATCTCCCAATGAGAGCAGGCCATCATGAAACATCATTCTGACAGTCCTCCCAGTCAGTGAGCCCCTCCCAGGAATGGCTCCCAGTACTTTAAAGGTATTATTGTATATTATTTGTACAAAAAAAGCCGAAGGTAATCTAGACACTAGCGCTTTGCCATCTCGTATTATGCATGGATGTGGAGGGTACATTTACACAGAGGTTGCTAAACATCCACCCAATGTGTCCTTTTATTTGTATGAATTATGTGTATTACAGGGTTCCCGCGGGGTCTTAAAAAGCCTTAAAAAGTCTAAAATTCAGAAAGTTAAATTTAAGGCCTTAAAATGTCTTAAAATTTCCCAGATTTTCATCCAAGGTCTTAAATTTAATTTACCCAAGTCTTAAAATTCTTACCTCTGTTCATTCCCAAGAAGCGTTGTCTGCAGAAAATAGTAAAACGCTGTAAAACTAATCCGGTTGTGTTTTCTGGTCTGCACCGGTGTCTCCGTGGTGATAAAACTACAAATCCCATTGCGTGATCACTGCAGCTAGGCAAACAAACAGTTTGAGAAGGGTCTGGCTGCAGAACGTGCCCTTTCAGCCATTTGCACGCTCAGCCACAACAGGAAGTGCTCACTTAATTCTTGAGGCCAATGTGAACGGTATGTTGTTCTATTACTGAATGAAATAGTTACAAGTTTATTTATTTAATGTCATACATTATTGCAATGTAAATGTTTTGATGTAGTGCGTTAGTAACTTTTTTCTCTGATGACTGGAGTGAATTTTTTCAGTTAAGGCAACTACTAGCCAGTTGGCTCACGTTATCTTACCGTAAAATACACATTTCTACTTTTACAGAGTCTTAGTTTCCAGCATGTTTTTAGTTGTTTGTGTGGTCTTGAGGAGAACGTTTCTCGGTCTCATTATGGCAGGGAAAACAAGTTTTTATTATCATACACAGGGGTTATTTAATGTGCTTTATAAAAACAAGATTTAAAACAGTTAAAGCAAGACAAGAAAGCAAAATAGAAAAAAACTTATTTGAATAAAAATTGCTTAGAAAATCTAAAAAATCTGATTTAAAACGCAGCATGCAGTATGTCATGCCCCGCTCGACCACTCCTCCCGTGTGCCACGCCCCCTCGTTAACCTCCTGTGGAATCCCCATGTCCTAAGCTGTTTCCAGTTGTTTTCATTAGTCCAATATATTTAAGTCTGCGTTAGGTATGTTTTCCCCAGTCCGGTCATTGACGTCCGATTTGCGTTTCTTCGATGTTCCTGTTTTGTCTCCCTTCTAAAAAACCTTCGTTCACCCGATCTCACGGCGTCTGTGCTGCTTCTTCGCCGAAAGGCGTGACACGGTAAATGTACAGCTAAAAATCAGACACAGTTAGAGGTTTTATATTATATCACAATGTTTTTATTGGTTTGTTTTGTTGAGTTTTTTTTTAGGCTGTTATCTCTTATAAAAAATAAACATTTGATTCCTGATGTCATGTCCAATGTTGTTTTTTTTCCATCCAGCTCTTATTAAACACAGTTTGGTACCTCATAGCATATGTAAAGTGTATTACGTATTACAGTTCTGATATATGATTATTAATAACCCAGAATTGTACTATTTTTTAAATTCCATTTTACTCTTTATTCACACACACACACACACACACACACACACACACACACAAATACGGGGTATATAATATAGTGATCCCCCGCCTATTGCGGAAGATGCGTTCCATACCTATCAGCGATAGGTGAAAATCCACGATATAAAAAGACCATATAAAAAAACTTTTGTAGTTTGACCCTTAAAATATCCCTCTCACATGCTTTAAACACATGTAAACTTGTTAAAACGCACTTTGTAAACACATATATGTGCATGTTTGGCTAAGGATATGAATGACATAAAATATGAGAATTTCTGGTATCATTCGAATGTTTCTAATAATGCATCGTGTTGGTCTTAAATTTTACTTACTGAAACCTGTAAGAACCCTGGTATTAGCGTCCTGAGGAGCTAACAGGTTTGTCAATGTAAAAGTCATAATGAGAGCAGACCGTCCGCGCTCACCTCCCGGAAACGGGTCGATTGGGAGGTTCGGTTTTTCTGAAGCAGATCAGTGGCGCCGCCTCCCTTTAGCTGCTTCGGTTCTCTGCTGCAGACGGCCGTCCGCAGGACTGTCCGGAATGACAGGCGACAATGACTGGAGACACTGTTCGGGGGGGTGGGGTGTGACAGGCTCGTCTGCCGCGTCGAGGCTCACAGACACTCTGCGAGTCAATCCCTGTGAACAGCCACATAAATGAGCCCCATTCATGACTCTTTTAGAATCTCTTATCGTTGACTTATTAACGCAGATTCTGTGCTTAATATCACACGGGCTTTGTGAAGTCATAATAAGGGGCTGGATATCTGCGGAGTGGCGTGTTACAGACCAGCGGCAGGACGATGGAAACACGTTCACTGATCTTAGGAACCACTTATTTGCCTCACATTAAAGCACCGTTTGGTATTGTAATAAGTCCAGCCGCTCTGGCCGTACGCCCCCTGGTGTTTGGATTTGGTGATGCTAAATTCTTAAAGGGTGGGACCGGAGTATTAGCCTTGGTAGCTGCCCTTGAAAAGCAGCTGTAGAGCACTGTAAAGTTAGGGTGTATTTCCCAGTCAGCAGAGAGCTGCTGGACGCCCTCGTGTTATTGGGCTGGGCTGCTGATCTGTAGGTCACTCGATGTGTTTAATATTTGAGGGTCTTTTGGCCTTTAGCATTTGATGTCATTTGTTCCTCTGTGGGGAAATCGAGGAGCGGGCAGCATAAGCCGGCAGGTTGCCTCGCTCCTGCAGTCTCACCACCAGCAGAGACGCGTCGCTCTGCAGGGGCAGTGAGCAGAGGTGCGCCGTCTCTCACGTTCTCCTCAGGGGTGAGCGATCGTGCATCATCTGTCAGTATGCCGGACAGAGCCCAAAGCTGGCCTGTGGCCTGCCCTCTTCATCTCTCACCTCGACATGAAGAATGAGGATCAGAACGCAAATATCAAGGCAGGAGCAAACTGGTGAAATCATGCCATTCAGTCACTGTATTACATTAGAGGGCAGGTCACACTCTCTTGGGGAGGGAGAGTGAATTACTATGAGAGGTTCACCAAGGAGCTAGATGTTGTGCCATTTTACTAGGAATACGCAACTAACTGTGGGTAACCTTACAAGCTCCTAAGGTTGGGGGGGGGTGCAAGTTGAGGAACATGGGATGATCAGGGGTGGGTTTGTCATTTTGGGGGCCCCACTCTAAAAGTCATTTTGCCCCCCAACCCAGATGTTTCAAAAAACTAAATAAGTAGCTTGTGAGTAAAGTGAAAAGCTGGTTAGCAGAACATGCTGCTTCAGCATCTCCAGAATAAGGGACGCATTTAGCTAACAGGGGGCCAAACCTTGGGGGGGGGGGGGGGGGCATGGAAGTGCGTCCTTTGAGTGGTGCCAGACACTGGGGACGATACAGACATGAGTGTGGGGTGTGAAGGTGACTCGGAAAGCCACTGGGCTGCGGGTGGGGGCTCTGCTGGCAGTCAGACTGAGTGTCCCTGAACCCTGTCTGAAGCGTGAGACCCCGGGAGGAGCCCAGAGACTCCAAAGCGGCATCCTCACACGCCCCAGCGCGGGACTGCGGTTAGCGGAATGCTCATTAGCGCTTATGCCGTCTGCTGTGAAATACATTCAACTATCCATCCGTTTTCTAACCAATTATCTCGGCAAGGGTCATGAGAAATTCAATTATTGGTAAATAAATAAATATGTTAGTGAGATGGCTGTGGTCAGCACTACAGCAGCCTTGGCACTGTCACTGTGGTTACCCATGGTGGGAGGTCTCCTTGGGGGCGTCTGCTGGGGGGGGGGGACGCTTTTCCGTTGCCAGTCCTCACCTGGGAAGGCAGGGCCGCCTTTAACTCGACTAGACACTTTGCTCAGTGGTGGAAGCTGCTTCACACCCCGATCTCCTGGCAGGATATCCACCTGGCAGACATTAATTGACAGCTCGTCTGTCAGGGTGCGAGTGTGAGGAGAGGAAATCGGCCTGATGTACACGGCTCAATCACGCACGCCGAGCTCGCTCTCCCCGATGCTCAGCGGAGGCCAGGGTCCTTCAAAGGGGTGAAAGGTCACAGATCGAAAAACTCACAGCTGACTTCCCCAGAAGAACGCTTTCCATGGTAAAACACAGACGTCTACAAGTTAATATTCTATTTGAATCATTCTTATATAGCACCCTGTCGCTAACTGCATAGCAAGAGTTCACATTAAACGGTGGGAAAAATCACAACACAGATTAAATTCACACCTTGTTACGTTTCTGTATGATTTGTGCAGCTCAGATAGAGAATAGATCCACGCCGCACTGGGATGGATGGGACACTGGGTTTTTTGAAACCTGGAGAGTACAGAATAACAGAAACAGACATGCAAATAATATAACAGGAATCTATTTCATATTTCAGGTAATTACCCCATGGTCCTGACCAGGAGAAGCAGTTAGAAGATGGATTAGAGGTAATTATATACAGGTAATTATGCACCTGACTTACCACACACCCCCTCATTAGAGAATAATAATTCAGGAGAATCCATCCTCGGTGGTAAACTGACAAAAACCTGTGCGTGCTTCTCTCAGCTACGGGATGCCAGCCACCAAAAGAACCATCTAGCAAACTAGGTTATCTACACTGCTCGGCCAAAAAAAAAGTCATCGTTTGAATTTATATCAGCAAATACTGAAGAGCCAATGACTGGATCATTATTACAGCTCAGCAACGTTATGCACCAATAACGTAAAGTCAGCTGAGTACCTGAATCTACTGAATGGCCAGGTTACACCTCCATCCATCATCAATGGATTGTTTTCTTCCCTGTTGGCATGGGCATATTCCAGGACAAGAATGCCAAGATTCATTGGGTTTGAATTGTCAAAGAGTGGTTCAGGGGGCATGAGGAATCATTTTCACGCATGACTTGGTCACCACAGAGTTGTGACCTTAACCTCATTGAAGGTCTCTGGGATGTGCTGAAGGAGGCTTTATGGAGGTTCAACTCACTTGTCAATACAGGATCTCGGTTAGAAATTAATGCAAATCTGGATGAAAATAAAGGGTGAGACATTGCATAAGCCTGTGGAAACAATGGCATGACAAATGTGCGTCATAATCAAAGCTAAAGGCGGTCCAATGAAAAATTCAAAATGGAGACTTTTTTTTTGGCCAGGCAGCGTAGGTTAAACTGCACATAAGCCCTAACATGCTGTACTTGTACAGGATGCTGTCCTCCATCACCAGAGATCTATTATTGTTTTTTTTCCATCTTTAACGTTGTTCCCTGACACATTTATTGGGAGGGACCAGTTGGCTGCCTGATTTCATTACCCTCCCCGGGGGTGCAGGGTAGAGCGGCACAGCCGAGAGCGGTGGGTCCGGCACTTCAGCCGGCCCAGTGAGGAGGTACCGGCTCTCGTGTGCCGCCGTTCTGTCAATTCAAGCCGAAATGAAGCCAGAAGTTATGAAGATTGCCTGTGTCCAGCTCCAGTAATGGGTCAGGCTACCTTCAGAGGAACTGGGCTGGGAACAACTAACCAGAGCAGTCACGTCTCATTTGTAGCAGAACGTGTGATGAGCATTAAGTGTTTAGGCCCATGAAAGCAAATTGTTCATTTAGATGTTCCTGATTCGAGATCATTACATGTTAGGGCTGTATTCCCACCTGCACGGACCTTCTAATACCGCATTTTCACAGGAGTCTCACCTTGTCTTCAGCTGTAAACCAGAGCATATTGTCACTTAGCCATGAAATTGTCTGATTTTCTTTTTCCATTGGCCTTGCGCCCATCATTACGGAAATAAAATAGAACAGATTTAGGTATTCATGGGCGTATATGGCAGGTTACCATGACCGGAATGCGAATGGGCATTGGTGTGTCATTCTAGAACGCCCCCCCCCCCCCCCCTTCCAGGCCGGACAGTTGCACACAGAGAGCTGAGAGAAGCAGAACTCTGCACAGATCGATGTATCTGTTCCTGAGGTGCTGACTAAATCGTCCATTTGTCAGTCGAGCTTGCAAGAGTATTCGGGAATGCCCATCGATTCCAGAGCTCAGCCCAGTTACAGACAGGAAGGGACAACACATACCCCCAGGTGTCGATTTCTGCAGACGTGACCCAGTCCAGCTCCCTGGGAGCAGAACCCAGAGCCTCGGTCTAGCTCCCGCTGTCAGGACCAGGATCCATGCATGTGGTATAAGCGGATCCCGGGGAACCCTGAGGAAGCAGAGAACGAACCGTTGGGCAGAAATTTTTATGACGGCGTTAGCATGGAGTGGGAGATCAGTTTCATTTACACTACAGAAATGAACAAGCGTTCTTCTGGAATGTACTGCTCGGCAAGCACCTCTGGGAAATCAGTAATTAATTAGTATTAAATACTAGTATGAATTTTTCAGCCTCGTGACACTGACTGACCAGCTTATTAAAATGTCCCCAAAAGACTCGAATTTCATTCCTGCCACTCAAACGAGGGATGTAATTATAGCACGAAAAATTGAGTGGCAGCTGTCAGACATCAGCAAGGTCCTGCTCATATATGCAAAGTCTGAGGGTCCAAATGTCTTCTTCGGTCAATAGGAAAGATTAATAATGACGCCGCATTAATAATCGGTCTGATTTTTTTAAACATTACGCAGAGCTTGTCCGACAGACTCTTCCGTAACTCGACAAACACGACAGGCAGAAGGGACCGTAAAGGTCCACCCCCACGGGGGAGGGGGGGGGGCATTGCTGCTCCACCAAGAGCTTGGGGATAGTAATTACTTTTAATTAGAATAAATCCAAGATTAGATCATCCTTTCCCCTCTTGCTCATTTCCTCGGCACCTTTCAATAGCGAGGGTCTCATTAGAAGCCCAGAGCCTGATCGGCCAGCATCCCGCTGCTAATTAACATCGTTGGGGCGGGAGGGCCTTGACGAGTAACCCCCCCCCCCCTTTCCCGACATGGTGACACGCCATCCATCTGGGTGCCGTGATCAATGGCTGCTGAGGTGACTGTGGCCGCTATCTGCATGGGAATTAGCGCTGCGACAGACAGCGCCGGCCCATTGGCCGATCACCGCCACGCCGCAAAGTGGGGGCCACGTCAATAGACTGATAAGATGAGCAGGGGACGACCCCCACTGGGTGAAGGCTGGGGGCCCATCTGCTGACACGCTGGCACGTGAAGTGGGTGGTGAGTCCACCTGACGGAGTGGCTGTGCTGTGCATGTAAGCGCAGTTTGTCTGTCAGTGCCAGGAACTCAGAGAACTGCTGCACAAATGCAACATCTGCCAGCTTCTCCCCATACTTTTCATATCTGATATTGAGCCCAACCATAAAAGAGGTGGGGGTCCATTTAAAGATGTTTTAAGGGACAGGTCCTGCTCAAGGGGGTGGTGCAGTGCTTAGCACTCTTGCCTCACACCTCTTGGTCCAGGGTACAAGTCTCCAGCATAGCTTCATGTGTGTGGAGTTTGCATGTTCTCCGTGTTGTCATGGGGATTCCTTCATATACTCCAGCTTCCCCCTACAATCCAGAAACATGCTGAGGTTAATTGAAGTTGCCGTAAGTGTGAGTATGCCCAGCGATGGGTTGGCACGCCATCCTGGGTTGGTCTCTGCCTTGTGCCCATAGGCTCCGGACCCCCTACTCAGAGAGACCATGGTCAGGACCATGGTCAGGACCATGGGGTAACTGGGAAGATTAATTGATTTAAGAGGTAATATCTGCTTTGAAATACTCAGTGAACAATATGACAGTGTCTGCATGTGAGTGCTGACAGGTTTAAGGGGGCAGGAGACACTTTAATATCAGTGACACCCCCCTCTACAGCCGCAGACTGACTCAGAGCCCGATTCTCGGTCGGGAGAAAGGACCCTTCTCACAGCATTTGTCCACATGGCTCGGGGCGACACGGACACAGGCGGCTGGGCCAGGCGGCCCCACGGTCCCTCTGCGGTCATTAGCCAGTCACCTCCAGCTGAACCGCATCTCGGCGGCGCCGAAGCACAAAATCACGCCGGTCACCGCGGAGCGGCTCCTCACCCGAAGAAACCCGGCAACAGCTTGGGGGAGACACACAGCTGCAGTCAGCTAGGGTGTTAGAGCCGCAACAGCCGACCCCCTTCGAGAGTCAGCCCCCCCACCCCGAATCCCAGACTTGCTTATTTATTCCTCCAGTGTGCCAGCCTGCCCTGGTTAGTATTTTAAACTGCACTCCACTCCATTTTATGACAACATGTGACCTTTCCGCAGGCCGGAGGCGAGAGGGATTTTCAATCAACAATTAGTCGAGTCTATTCCGGAGATGGTCCAGGCCCCCCAGAGGGAGCACCATTGATCGGCCCCTCTGGCCTGGACATCCGCATCCAGCCGTGCAGGAACCTGCAGGCCCGGCCCTGGGACCTCGGAGTGGAGGGGGTGCTTCATCCGGAAGCTGCCGCATTACACACGTTTTTATTGTTAGAGAAACAATAAAGAACCAAAAAAATCACAGCTCAGGAAAGACATTTAAGAAGGCACTCATGGAAACACAGCCAGGGTACGAAACCAGCCAGAGATCGCAGAACAGGACACCAGAGGGCGGGAAGATGCGGCCAGGCCTTGGGTGCGAGCGCGACTCCACATGACCACCAGGGGCCGCCCTGACAAACGCGCTGACGCAGTTTAGCCGGTCAGAGTCCAGATGGCGGCACCGGGTCTCTCAGCGGAGGGCGGGATCGTCGTCGGGAATTAATTTCCAAATGCCGTCAATATTCCTGAAGTGAGGCATGCGGGCTTGTGCTGGAGCGCGACATTAAGCTTTCATGAAAGTAAAAGTTAATTAGATATGATGCCTAAACTCCGGGGATTGTAATTAGCTGAGCTGCGTGACTGCTCACCAGTAATTAAATGTCATTTTCCCTCAGTTCACCGGGCCTTGAAAAGCCTGCCTGAAAATGTCAAATAGGCGAATTTCACCTGTGCCCTTTGCACGGTTTGACCGGAGAAAACCAGGGAACCAGGGAGAAGGCGAGCGGGGGGAGGGAATTAATTAGCAATGTCTTTTTGTCTTTTGTCACATGTACTCCCCCCCCCATGCCCCCCAGCCTTTGAGGGTGGTCACTCTCCTCTGGACAGGTGTGTCAGCTGGCTGCAGCCAGTCTGCCGTCACGCCCCCATGCCTTCTGCCAAAAAACGCGTGACGAGCACGGGGGCCACCTGCAGATCCTCTCATGGCGTAGAGCTTCCCCTCGGACAGTGAGGAGTGCAGTCTGTGCACCTGCTCACCTTCTGCACGTCACACGAATATTAATCAAAAACCACAGGCACAGCAGTACAGGCCAAAGAAGCAGAGGGAACGATAAAAATGTGGGATTGTCCCAAATCACAGAAACCAGCATCCTCTTGAACTTCTTCCTGCTCCGTCACTCCACCTCTAAACAGAAGGCAGCTGTAATAACGCAGTGACAGCAGGGGGGAGTTCTATGGTTATCGGCACCCATCCATCTCTGCAGACGAACCTCCATGTGTGGACAGAGCAGTGTGAAGACTGAACGCAGTTGCATCTCCGCCGTGGTCCGGAAACTGATCACCAGATATAAAGCTGTTTAGGTGCCTTTGCCGCAGAAGTGAGCGAGAGCCCTGCTGCGTTTGAGATTAGAGACGCCGTGGGCATCGCCCCCCCCTCCCACCCCCCCGGCAGGCACTGCTGGCGGTTTATGTTTCCCCCTCATTAACCTGCCGCCAGTATCATCACCCTCGTTTTCTGTAACACTGAAGCATACACAATCAGGTTTCTAACGATCGCGTGCGGAAAGCCGTCTGAGTGAGCGCCTGCTCTGGTAGTAATGGCCCGTCCAATGAGATGCAGCCTTGTTAAAATACCACACAAATACACACGATGGGTCATTTAATCTACTCGCGTTGGCTTCACCCTTAAAAGGTAGCAGAGGCAGGACTCTGCCCCCCCCCCCCTCCAGGGGCATTAACAGTGTGTCGTTCCAAGCGAGCCCTTGGCAACCCAGCGTGACTGGATAGGCGGACCTGCGACAAGGCATGGCATGCGGCAGAGCGTCCGGCCGCCCGGGGCGTGACTGGATCGCCGGAACCCAGGACAGGGCACGGCGTGCAGCGCAGCGCCTGGCCGCCCACTTGCCAACAAACCGCGGCTGATTCAGAGGCTCGCCGACGTGCGAATTAGCGAGACGACCCGGGACGCAGGGAGTAGCCTGGGGACCCGGATCACAACAGAACTGCCTCAAACACAATTTAAATACAACGCAAAATAAATAAATAAAAATGGGTAAAGCGGGAGGCGTGTGCAGAATGGATCAGGTGGTCGTGAGAGGTGAGAGACGTGCTGGCAGGGGGCGGGGGTAGGGGAGCATGAGGAGGGGGTGGGGGGGGGCGAAATGACTTTTGAGCCGGATAAGGGTGTTGATGCTGCAGGCCGGTGCTGATGGAGTGCGGGGGAGATAAATGGCCGGCGCCTTGCGGAGAGGCCGCGGCGGAGGAGATAAATCGACAGATGGTGCCAAAGAAAGCGAGGAATTACAAAGTTGACGAACAGGGGAGGGGGTGCTGAACTCTACGCGGCATCGGGGAAGTTGGGGGGGGGGGGAGGGGGCAAATGGAGAGATGCAGATGTGTACGAAATAACGGGCATAATGAAGCAGGTGTCGCATGGGAGCACTCGCGGTGACAAGGGCCGAGCTCTCTCACACCTTCAGCGCCACGCGGGAACCTGCCCTCCTGCTTGCCACGCTTGGAAAGTCTCTGTTTTTCAGAGCAAACAACTGATTTATGGAGGTAATCTGGCAGAATTACTCCCTAATCATATGTGGATCACTTTTCTGAGGCTGTAGGAGGCTGTTTGTCTGGGAAAACAAAGCAGATGGTTCGTTTAGCTCTCACTGGGACTCGCGGCTACAGAATCCAAACACAACCTCTTATCCATGTTTATGTGAATTAATAAAAATATACAGTCACCATAATGAAGCATCCAGGTGTTCGCGTATTCAGAGGCCTCCCCTGTTGCTGTGATGATGCAGGACGGTAGCTGTATGTAAGATACACAGACTAGCATGATACATGTCAGAGTAACACAACAGACCCTCAATACACATTAAAAGCTTCATTAGCGAAATACTGATACAAGAGTCACAAGGATGTATATAAAGGTAGAGAAACAGAGTAAACAATGAGCTAAGCAATAAACAAACCACAGATATGCAGGGAAAAGGCTTCACATAGGCAAAGTGCAAAAGAAACTCTTGGAGTTTTCTTACCAAATAGGTCAAAAGGGTGAGACGGGTGATGATGACCTTCACTCTGAACGGTTGGATCCTGCCAAACAACAGTGCAAACGGTACAGACTACAAACAATAAAGACAATGCAAACAATAGGAAGCAAGCAAGCAAGCAAACAGACAAAACCAGAAAAGCAAACAAACAAAGCAAACAGAAAAAACTGGAAAAGCAAACAGACAAATCAGACAAAATCGAAAAAGCAAACAGACAAAATGGACAAAACAAATACCCAAGTGCGATCGACAAACACCACCCCCCCTCAGTTTAAGCCTATTCCTTTGAACCTGTACTTTAAAGGGGAATGAACCATAAAGGCATAGTGATGCCTGTTTGCGGGTATTAAATGGGAAGAGTGCCCCCAGGCTTTAGGAGGATATATTACACCTCTGGTATCAGGGGGCATTCCCTGAGGATCCCTGGGACAAAACAAAATGAACTGACACACACTAAAGTCCATTATCCCCTAAATCCACTGCTGTGCATTTCCTGTCCTGTCGTAATATTAACAAACAGCAAACCCCCATTTGAACGTGGCTGAATATGCTCACGCATCAGAAAGGCCTTTTGGTACCTCTACATTTATCAGCTGGGACAGCATCAGCTGTTCACCACGCAAACACAGAGTGAGCTTCTCTTTAATCACCCTGGACGCTCACAGTCCTCCATCCACTTTCCATTATCTGGTATCACTTTGCTCAGGCAGACACACCCAGGAGATTTGTCCCTGTCACACGTGCGAAACCCCAGCAGTGCCTCTAGCCTTCATCACTGTGCACCTTCCTCCATTTCATGCTGAGCTCCAAGCTGCTGAAAGCTGCTCCAGGTTAGACGCATCTCAGGGTCGACAGGGGCCTTGAGATCAGAGATGAACACCAGCGTATCTCACCGTCGTTTGGCTGCCGAGCTCCAGAGACAAAACCCTCAGATGGCCGAGTAACGGCATGTCGCTTACGGCCAGGCCGGTGCCAAGCCTCCTGTCACTCTGCTGCTCTCCTCGGCGCATCCATCTTAGTCTGGTCGCTTCCGATATCTGCACCTTCAGCTAAATAGGGATAAGCGGGTGACAATCGTCTTCTCTTCAGGTTCTTAAGGGTTTTGTAACACCATCTCTATGTTGAGACATCTCCAACAGATGGCGTCAGACACTTTTAAAAGGCCTTATATGAACATTCACTTATACATCATCTTCAGTGATATGAGGTAAGATATAATTTATTGATTCCAGGGGGAAATATTTTGAGGATGACATTTGATTTAACATTTTGACATTGGACAACAGGACAAAAGTGCTTCAGTCTGCCCCGTTCAGAGGAATACCAGAGGACAGCCAGCGGGCCATTCTGGAGAGATTTCACCAAGGCATCTACTTTCCATCCGAGACCCTGCCATCTCCTGGCACGTTTTTCTCTGAATGGATTACAATGCATGTGTCTGAAAGCCAAGATAAATCTGTCCACCGCCTCGCTCATCTGTCTTTCCCCTCCAAATTAAAGACTGACAAAAATGGGCCATTTAACATGCCCACAAGTCAAGACATTGAATACATTTCATGGTTTCCTTAGCAAAATAATTCACTTGCTCAGAAAATTGAAATGCACAGTATGATGCATAAAACTGAAAGGTTCTGATAATTGTCTTGCTCAGAATCTTTTTATTCTACCCTTCACCCTTTATTCAGATACTGCACATGTCTTTCACACAAATAAATCATTGTCATTAGAATATAATGTAATCTAGCAGTGGTACAAGCTTTGAAAGAGGTAATGATACATCATTCCACATTATTGCATTACGGATACATTACAAACGTTGTGTTTACCATCAAAACCTGCAGCCTGGGCGTCTCAGTTATAAAAATATTGCCGCTCACCAAAAACAGCAGGAAAGCCCCCAACATACAAAGCACTGGGGAGGGGGGGGGGGGGGGGAGGTAGCTCCACTAAATCAGCTGAATATCGGTCCGTCAAGCCGGTAGTCTGTGGATCAGACACCTGGCGCTCTGAATAGAAGGGTAAATCCAAAGCCATTGCTGAAAATGGAGCTGTCTGTTAGAAATGTCACAACTATCCCCTGACTGATAAGTCCCCCCAACCCCCCCCACCCGTAATAAGAGCTGACACCTATTTGTGACATATAACCGTATCGCAAATTGCTTTTGGCATGATAAGATCTCCTGTCCTCCCTACCGACACTGGGGCCAAAATATGGCACAGATGTGGTATTTATTAACTCCCCCGTGACCACATGGGCTGGGCCTACCCAGCATCCTCAGCTGGACCCCTCTCCCTCGTGACCACATGGACTGGGCCTACCCAGCATCCTCAGCTGCACCCCCGCCCCCGTGACCACATGGGCTGGGCCTACCCAGCATCCTCAGCTGCACCCCCGCCCCCGTGACCACATGGACTGGGCCTACCCAGCATCCTCAGCTGGACCCCTCTCCCCCGTGACCACATGGACTGGGCCTACCCAGCATCCTCAGCTGCACCCCCGCCCCCATGACCACATGGGCTGGGCCTACCCAGCATCCTCAGCTGCACCCCTCTCCCTATAACAAGATGGGCCAAGCCTACCCAGCATCCTCAGCTGCACCCTCCTTCCATGTAACCAAATGGGCTGATCCTACCCAGCATCCTTGGCTGCGCCCCCCTCTTCTGTGACCACATGGACTACACCTACCCAGCAATATGAGAGCTGTGATGATGACATGTATCATTTTTACGGATATACGTTCCTTCACTCCGCAAACAGCAGCCCGGTCAGATTCTGTTCCATTTACCGTCAGTGATCCTTTCGGAGCAAGCGGCTCTGGTAAAGAACCAGAGCTACAGCTGGAGTTAGACACCACACGACGGCAATGTGCGGCGACATCAGACAGCCGTCTGGACATTCCGCCGATTACTCCGTCTGTGAGTGTGCTTGTCCTGTTGCTCTGTCAAGCAGCAGCAGGCTCGCAGTGCCGGCTCCATGACAGCACTCGTGGAAACAGGCTGTCCACTCCAGGCACATTTCAGTACTGCATGGCTTTGAATGTGAACGACCCCTTATTGTCATGTGATCAAACCCAAAGTCACATGACGGGGCAGAACGGAAGAGCCTGCACTGGTTATAAAAATGGGAAATCGTGCAAACTCTATAGTTATTTTGCAATAATGAGTGGCGCAACATTCATATATATTTCAATTAGTGAAGAAAGGAAACATTCTGAGAGCAGCTAGCTGTAACATTAAGACTTCATCACCCCAATTAGGAGCAAAATCGTAAGGAGCGCAAAGCAGCATCATTGTCGGGCTGCTTCATTATTCAGCGTGATGATAGGTCTCCGCTTTCATGGGCAGTGATCAAAGACCTGGATCTGCGGCTCAGCCATTGCCGGCACCTCAGGAGGTACGACATCGTTTAAATATGAACTTACATGTTTATTTATTCATCTGCCCCATTTTAATCGATTCTTATTCCAAGAAAAAGCCATGGCTGAGTAGGAATAAGGAAGTGAGGAGAGGAAGCGCTACGCTATCAGAGTATCAGGGACACCGTAGCCGGAGTGAGGAGCCCCGTTATAAACGAACACAGAAAGACAGGAAGTCTCGCTAATGCACCTAATTCATTATTAACAGGCTGATTTCATGAGGGACCCCCCACCCCGATAAACGCCCCCCCCCCCCACCTCCTGGTCCATCAGTCAGCGGCAACATAAAGGGCGTGTTTTCTACTAAAGTTAATGCCTCCTAAGATCTCCATCTGGCCTGTCAATGTCACGGCTTTTGTCCAGCTCTCAAAGTGCCGCACTCTTTCAGTGTCTTCATGCTAATAAGGTCACCTGTCAGCCCTCGGAAGCCCCCCCACCCCTCCCACCCAGGTAAAATGCCTTTCCACATCTTCTGGATCTCAACGGGCTGGAAGATAAGTCAGCAGGAGACAAACATCTGCTGGAGACCCATGTCTGGCTGCTCTCTGCAGTGGAGACACAAATGACAGACAGTGATGTTTACTGCAGAGATATCACCTGTGCGTCACGTATCTGAACCCAGGGTGACCCGCTGCGCCCTCCCCAGTGATGCAATAACGTTCAAGGCTCCCCCTGTCCCCCACGCTTCGTCACGACACCTGATGCAAGCATCATCAGGTCACACGTGGGAACGCTTCATTCCTCTCATCACTTAAGCAGTCTGTGAGAGACGGATTCTGACTCATGCCATCACTAATGTCTAATGTTTCTGGGTAACATTTCTATCTTTTATCTGCCGTGATGGACCTTCTCTCTTTTGCGACGGCAAGTCGACATTTGTACTTTTAGACAACTTTTGGATTTGCAGCACTTCAGACTTTTGTTTTTTAAAGCCTTTAAATTCCACATTGAGGGGGAAAACCAGCCCTTAGGAATGGGAAGACCTCCAAAAGATTGCTGCAAAGAGTCTTTATTCATGCACAGCAATAACACTGAAGACACTGAGAAATATCTACCAGAGAGAGAGAGACCCGGGTCAGCAATGTGACGCAACACAGCGTAACATAACGTTAACAGCGAATGATTCTCTCGCAACAAAATGTCTCTGTATATAAAAGAACAGAATAGTAAAGCCACAAAGAGCCAGCATGGTCCCGGTCCTCCTCCCAGCTGGCCTGGGGCTCGCCTTTTCTCTCCCTCCTCACTCCATCCCTCGCTCACTCACAGGATTATCTTCATAATTCTCCTCTATCCACACAATGATTGTAACCATTTACAGTTAGACACAAATATATTACATGTACATGTATATTATATATACAGAAAGGAAAACATCTGAACGACAGAGAGACATCATGGCTGATACACTGTGTGTGTGTCTGAGTTTTTGTGGTTCCTAAGACAGTTTTTGTTTCCCAGCATATTTCACTGTCAAACAGAAGGTTATTCTGGGTTTTACCCTCATTATACTACAGCCGTGATCAGATCAGCCTGGATTCTTCTAATCCAGCTGAAATTCGGCAAAAAATGTCACTTGAAAACGGGCGTCCCATCCAGGGTGTCCCCAGCCATGTGCTGTCTGGCCCTGGCTCCAGCACCCCAGCCTGCTCCCGCCCCACCTATGATAATTAGCAGCTGGAAGATGGATGGACATCACTAAAAACGGCAGGCATTATGCACCATAACACGGAGG